GATGGGCTTGGCTTGCATGCATTGTCTCTTTCGCATATCGCAATCCCACACGGGAAGCAAAATACCCATTTCCGTGATTTTTGCGACACCTGGAGCTTGGTGATGGACAATGAGGAAAATGCAACGCGCGAGCAAGTTGACCACAGAGCTCCACCTGATCGAGTGCCACGGATAATCCATGGCCGCAATTTGCGCGCGTGCGCGAGGTGGATGGCGGCGACGCCGATGTCATGGTCCACTATGGCAAGGACCCGCGCGAGTACTGCATCCTATCAGTGTCGCTCGAGGTCGACGCGTCCCGTCGCGCCACGGGTATCCAAACCATCAAACGCCAAATGATCAAAAACGGACAGCAAATGGGCCATTGCCCGCATCGAGGGCTCCGAGCGCCTGCACAAGGTTGACTTTCATCCTGCTCGCCATGGTCTTCGTCGGCTGCGAGACCGCCGTCCTTGATCAGCTCGGATTGCAGCACAACCAATGCAAAAAGACATTCCAACCACCAAAATGGCCAGTTATGCCACCACCGTCCCAAGGATATTTACGGCTGGCGATGCAAGATGCAAACAAAGTCAATGCACTGGCTTTCAGTAAATCTTAAAAAAAAAAAGAAAAAACACGCAGAAAAAGCAGAAAGAAACGCGCGACGCGTCGTATTTTCCCGTTTCTTTCCCAGTGAATGGCGAGGCCAACATGCACTGGAAATCGACGTGTATTTGAGCATCAGCAGCAAACGGCTCGTTTCGGCAGATATTTGGAATCGCAGTGTTGCCGAGTCCATCAAAGTCAAAAGAAGCAAAATTAAGGCTAATGCCTTTTTCAATAAGCTCAATTCGCGTGTTTCGTGCTTTTTGCACCTTGTCGGCGTTGAAACAATTGCGGGGGGCGAGAGCGGGCCGTTGATCAAACAACTGGATTCCCTTTTTCCGCCCTCGTTTCGCACTTTTTTTTCTTCTTTTCTTTTGCCTTTTTTCACTTTTACCCCACCCTCTAGCCATGTCCGGGTTCACAATTATTTGGATGTTTCTGGCGGCGGCTGTCGCCAGTGCTGCGTCCTATGTCCTTACCCCCAAGGGTATCAATCAGACGTATGTGGTGTTTTTGCACTTTTTTTACCCATTTCACCGAGATGAAGCAGGTGGACCCATAACACATGGCTGACCGCCGTCCCATTTTTCTTTTCTAGTGTGATTCGCACGATGCTTGTTATGACTATTGTGTGTTGCTACATGATGTAAGACGGCAAAAACGCAATAAAGCGAAAAAAACGTCGGATGGGAGCCGTTTCTGACGAATTGAACGCCTTTGTTATCTTTTTTTTTTTTTTTTTTCTAGGTGGGCGCTTTGCTACCTGGCGCAATTGCACCCTCTGATCAATCCCACACGCGTCGGTCTGCGTCCGCACCACGAATAGATGCCTCAATTGTTTCGTCAAGCCGCTTTTGCAACCCATCATACCCTTTCTGTCGCGTGCATCTTGCTTGGCTGCCTTTTGCTGTGGTCTTTACAATGGCCAGGCCGCCCTCCCTTTTTCCCTTTTTCCCTCGTCAAATAAAGAAAAAAAGCAATTGTACTATGCAACCGCTTGAAGTAGACAATTTGAAGGATTAAATGGGTCCAATGGATTCTGTGGGGGTGCCTGACGCGCAATAAGAAAAGAAACAGGGTGTCATGAGGTGTGGCCACGCTGTCGGGGGTGGGATGAATGACGAGGGCGCTTTTTTTTTTTTTTTCTCCTGCGCTGCGTCGTATATTTTCCCACTCTCTTTTCCCTCTCTTTTTTTTTCTTTCTTGCCCATGGCGTCGACGGTTATCAAAAAGAAGAGCATATCCAAAGACGAGTGGGAGCAGCGTCTCGCCAAGGTGACGGTAGAGAAGCAGTAAGCAGACAATTGAAAGGGGGGATTTTTTTTCGTCGTTTTGCCTGTTCTTTTGCTTTGCTGACCACGCCGTTTTTTTCGCTCTTTTAGGACGCTCAACCAGCTCATCATGAACTACCTGGTGATTGAGGGGTACGTTGAAGCTGCGGAGCAGTTCAGTCGCGAGAGCGGCCTTTCGCCGTGCGTCGACTTGCAGTCTATTCAAGAACGCCGCGAGATACGCCACGCCGTGCAGGCTGGTGACATTGATATGGCCATTGACCTTGTCAATGACTTGAATCCTGAGGTAGAAAAAAGCGTGGGCAATTTGAGAGAGCATAGCGCTCATTTTCAATTTTTTTTTTTTCTGTTGTAGATCCTAGATACCAATCCCAAGCTTTATTTCCACCTTCAGCAGCAGCGTCTGATTGAATTGATTCGGCAGGGCGACGATGAGGGCGCGCTGAGCTTTGCCGCGGAGGAGATGGCGCCTCGCGGCGAAGAGCATCCCGAGTTTCTGCAAGAATTGGAGCGCACCATGGCATTGCTCGCCTTCCAGGATAGCAAGGACTCCCCCGTCAAGGACCTGTTGCACCCACACCAACGCCAAAAGACCGCACAGGAGCTCAATCGCGCCATCCTCCTCAGCCAGTCGCGTGAACCAGACCCAAAATTGCCAAAACTCCTAAACATGCTTGCTTGGTCCCAGGAAAAACTCGACGAACGCATGGACTACCCGCGCATCACCAACTTTGTCACCGCAGACCTCATTGCGCCCCAGCAACCATCTGTCATCGACGACATGGACACCACAGAGGAAACCACGCCGCCTTGAAACCCGCGTTTTCTCCCCCTCTTCCCCCCCCCATTCACAACTTGTACCATAGTTTCTTCCTCTTTTTTTTTTTAAATCCTTTTTCTATTTCAATTCTGCAAAAAAATAAAGCACAAAGCGCGTCAATTGAGCAAAAAAAGCGCGCTTGTGACCAATCAATCGAGCACAATGGGCGCTTCTGGACCTCCGGGGGTGGCATTGTGTCCTGAAGCACCAGGCGCAGCTGGCACAGGCGTCTGAGAGGCGGCAGAGGGTTGTGGTTTTGGAGGCTGCTGCTGCTTTAGCTGATTTTGAGGTGGATTGGCGTTGGCGGCACCGCTGTAGTCGACGAATGGCGCCTGTTCGAGCTGCGCCATGACGGCGTCGACGCGCTCGTCGGTGCACACGGGGTTTGGGCTCGGATCCACGTAGATGATCTTGCCAAAGCCCTCATTTAATGCACTTGATGGCGGCTGGTATGTTTTGACAAAGCGGCGCAGAATGCCCTGCCCTTGCATTCCCTCCACACCTGTCGGGTGATCCACGCGCTCCATGATCCGCCGGCCACATTCCTGTCAAAAGGCCAAAAACATGTGAGAAAGTCAACCTTTTTTTTTTTTTACTTTTTTGTACTTTTTTTGCGAGCTTTTGCTCCTTTTAACTGCTTTACCTCTGCATCGGCCGTGAAGATGATGCAGTCGACAGGCACGCCGTACTGGCGCGCGAGGCGCACCCATGTTGCGCGCTGTGAAACGTCGAAATTGCAACGATCGACCACCACATTGTAATTTGCCTGCAAAAACTGCCTGGTATACATTTCGCACGCCTTGCGCGACTTCATATCGTCCTGATTCACACGTTGCCACTCCTACAAGAGACAAAGCAACGCAAGCAAAACGCAAGTTAAGAGGCTAGAAAGGAAAAAAAAATGTCGAAAAAGCAACACTTACGGGCCGTGTGACTAGTTTGTTGGAAAACGTGCTCTTGCCAGAGCCTGGCAGGCCAACAAGAACAAGCATGCGCGCCATGGTCAAGAGGGACACTGTGAAAGGAGAGAAGAAGGGGCAAAAAAAAAAAAAAAAAAAAAAAAAAGAGGAACAGAGCAAGAAAGGCGACAAGCGGGCTGAGACTCTTTCCCTTTTTTTTTGCTCTCCGCAGCAACTTTGCCCTTTGTCCAGCCAGACGTACAGGGGAGCTTGACGAGTTTTAGCTGCCGAGACACAAATCACTCATTTTTAACGACAAATAAAATGTGAGTTATTCAACCACGTATTGTAGTGCCCCGAAACACGTTCCAGCGTAAAATGACAAGCTAGAAATCTCTTGGGAGGCTTGCTTTACAGCTGACACGGGTCCTTGGAGGTGCGCCACACACAAAATCAAAAATGTGCCGCTTTGAGCTTTAGGGGAGTGAATCAAAAACTGCAGAATCACACCAAACTTCGCTACAATATATTTTGCACGGTGAAACGGTGAAAAATGGATAAAAAGAGCCAAGTCCATCTGCTCCGTGACGAACAATGAGCGATTTTCGTTTAAACTTCAATCGCGAATTGCGCGGGGAAAACGCGTCCATAGAGCCGCGCGGACGCGTCCAATATCAAGGGGCACACCCGGTGCACGAATTTGATTCCAACAGGTGCGTGCCACTCGACGTCTGACACGGTCTATCATGCGCCAAAGTTTCCCCGCAAATGATCTGGTCAAGTCAATTCTGCCCGGAACGCGCGTTTTGCAGTGACCATCGATATCCATGTACGCAGCAAACCATGGTCGTTCTCGTGATCTCTGTTTCGCGGCTCTGTGACCAATTTTCGTCAACTTTTACTTGATGCGAAAAAATGAAGCAATTTGCATTTTACGCGGCAACCAGTCGATGCACTTCCCCTTTTTATTGCATTTCTGTTGGTTATTGGGATGCTATAACTACGTGGTTGAATGGCGCGGCGATCTGTGGCCTTGAATTTCACCGGTTTCCCATCCTCGACTGCATCCCTTGGAAAATTCACCATTTTCGAAAATCATGATTGCGCACCATCCAGTGGATGCAGAGCCTCGGGAATGGGTTCATTCGAGCGAGAACGCTGATCCAATGAAGCGATTTCCTCGTAGGCTGTGATTTCATCGGCAAACCGACTCAAAGTTACACTTATAGCGCGCCAATTGCGGTTTTCTCCACAAACGCTTGATCAATATATCCATTGTTTTTTCTTGTCAAAACCATAGGCATTTAGCAGAGACTCCATCGTATCTGTATTATAAAAAAGAGAATTTAAAGGCATTGAGCGCGTCAAAAAAAAAGAAATGTTTCGCGATCATCAGCAAAATGCCATGACGGGGAGTCGAACCCCGGTCTCACGCTAATTCCAAGGCTTCTGCCTGTTTGGGAAGCGTGCATGTTAGCCGTTGCACCATCATGGCAAATCAAAAATTGGCAAAAACGCCTTCACCAGCTGGTGCATTTTCGGCATAACTATCGGCCCGAAGAAAGACAACGTATGATTGGCCATTGGGCCGTCGGCGACAGAAATGAGACCCATTGGCCAATGACATCGCTGTCTTCGGATTCCTTTATCATTCAGCCGTTTTTTTTTTTTTTGGTCGCGATGATCCACGCGCGTTCGAAATCATGCATTGGGTCAATTTGCTTTTCACGCGAGTAATTTTTTCGCACCGCCTATTTAAGGGTACACTGCGCGCAACATTAAAAGCATAAAAAAGAGGGCCTTGCTGCGCGAATTCTTTATTCAAAAGCAGGCGCTGCTTCAATTTTGACGCTTCTCTTCTCGTTTTCTTGCTTTTTGTCTCCACCATGCTGACTGCGAGTCGTCCCTTTTATCGGCGCCTTCGCCTAGCACCACGACACTGGCAATTATCGCGCTTCCTTTCGCAGCACGAACGCGTGCCTGCGCTGCGCCAAGCCATGGCGGCCGACCACGCGCTGGATCTGCTGTAAGGGCCCCACCCCACCTTTTCTCTTTTTCGTTTGTGCAATCGCTCACGTGCTCTTTCTCTTGCTGCATAGCGTCGTGCCGTCCGAGGACGCTCACCAGGTTAGAACACATAGACTCGATGGCTCGCTGACGCGCTTTTTCGCGCTTTTTAGAGCGAGTACACGGCGGAGTGCGACAATCGACGAGCGTGGGTCTCGGGGTTCACTGGCTCGGCCGGATGCGCGGTGATCACGGCATCGGACGCGCTGCTATTCACGGACGGCAGGTACTTTTTGCAAGCCAATGAGCAATTGGACGCGTGTCAATGGACGCTGATGAAGCAAGGCCAGCCCGGTGTGCCTACGTGGCAAGAATATGTCAAATCAGCCGAGAATAAACGCATTGGCATCGACGCGTCGGTCATCACGGCAGGTATAAATGCAAAAGAGCGGCAGAAACGTGATTTCAGCGATTGATCCGCCCTTTTAGACCAATATAACCAATTGCAGCAGTCTCTCAAGAAAGGGTCGTCGTTAGTGCTCATGAACGAGAACCTGGTGGACAAAGTAAGAAGAAGGAAACGAAAATATGGGGTTTATACCATTTTTTTTATAGGTTCGCGGGTCTGAGCGGCCTGCACGACCGACGTTTCCAGTGAAACCACACGCGCTGTCGTATGCAGGCAAGACGCACCAGGACAAGCTGCAGGAATTACGGGCGGATCTGGCGTCGCGCGGCGTGGACGCCACGGTGGTATCTTGTCTCGACGAGATTGCATGGCTGTTGAATTTGCGCGGCGCGGATATCCACTGCTGTCCTGTGTTTTTTGCGTACTGCGTGGTGACGCGTGACGACGCGTTCCTGTACGTGCAGGACGACGGGCACCACGGTCGTTGGGCGCCATTGCACGCGCATTTGCACGACGCGGGCGTTCAAATCAAGAGCTATGACGCTTTCCTCGACGACCTCGGTGGGTTGGCCAAGCACAACCACTCGTGGCTTGTTGACCCGACTTTTACAAACATGTCCATTGTCAAGGCGCTTGGCGTAGGGCCTTTTTTAGGGGAGTTTCATAGAAATTGACTCTCTTTTCTTTCTCTTTTTCTTTTTCTTTTTCTTTTTTTAATTTTTTACCTTTTTTGGGGCGATTTGCAGTCCAAGATCAAGTTTGACGCGTCGATGATTCCGCGAGCCAAGGCGATCAAGAATGCTGCAGAGCTCGCAAGCAGCCGTGCGTGCCACGTGCGTGACGGGGCGGCGGTGACGCGTCATTTTGCGTGGTTGGCGCGTGCGTTGCAGGGCGGCGAGCGATTGCACGAGCACGAGGCGGCAGAGCACTTGGCATCGATGCGGCAGGAGGACCCTTTATATGTCGGCTTGTCGTTTGACACGATTGCGGCAACGGGTGGCAATGGCGCGATCATTCACTACCAGCCGTCGCCGACTGACTCGGCTCTCATTGATGCGCGCAACGTGTATCTGTGCGATTCAGGCGCACAGTATCTGGACGGCACAACCGACATCACACGCACCTTTTTATTTGCCGGCGACCCCGCGCCATTCCAAAAACGCGCATTCACGCGCGTCCTCCAATGCCACATTGCACTTGATCAAGCCGTCTTTCCAAAGGGCACCTCAGGTACAAAAAAAAAAAAAAAAAAAAAAAAAAAAGAGCTCGCTTTCCCTTCCCAATGCCTCTTTATACTCACTCCACAACAAATCAGGGTACCAATTGGATGCCATTGCGCGCGCTCCACTTTGGCGTGATGGCCTGAATTATCGCCACGGCACGGGCCATGGCGTCGGTGCTTATCTCAATGTGCACGAGGGCCCCATTGGCATCTCTAGCCGACTGGCACACAGCGGCATGGCTCTCGAGGAGAACATGCTGGTCACCAATGGTAACAAAATTATGCTTTTGACGCATTTTTTTTCCAGTCGAATTGACTTCTTTTTTTTTTTTGCGTAGAGCCGGGGTACTATGAAGATGGCGACTTTGGCATCCGCATTGAAAATGTGCTGTGCGTGAAAAAGGCGGCGACGGCCTATGAGTTTGACACGTCGTATCTTGGTTTTGATCATTTGACGTTTGTGCCGCTCGGCCAACGGTTAATGGCAACTGAATTGTTGCAGCCGCACGAGGTGCAATGGATCAACACATACCATGAGCAATGCCGTGAGTGGCTAGAGCCTCTCCTCAAGAGCGATCGACGCGCATTACAATGGCTAGAGGAAGAAACAAGGCAAATTGACAAAAATGAATAAAATAAAAAAAGGTGGCGCGCACCCGCGCATCGGGCATCGGCCGTCTCGTGACTCGCGCTGCTGAATTTTAAAAAAAAAATCTATTTGCCCGCCGTCGCCCTCCCCGTCCCCCCTTTTCTTTTTTTTTTTCTTCCGTGTCATACATACCCTTTTTTTTTTTTGCGCTTGCCCTCGTCCTTTTTGTTTTTTCTTTTCTTTTCTTTTTGTTGGCCTAATATACCTTGTTGTTCTCTCATTGTCTTGTCAAACCATGGCTCTTCGTGCGCGTACCAACAAAAAGGTGCTTGGCGAGCTGCCCACCAACACGGCGGCGGCGCCTGAGGTCGACGTGCGCAATGTGCAGCCAGAATACTGGCTTAAAAAGTATCGTGGGGTCATCTCGTCGTTTGTCTTTTTTCTGGATATGCCAGACACGAGCGCAAAGAAGGAATTGATTCGCAAACTTGAATTACTCAATGTTGTACGTGATTTGCCGTCCCTCCTCACCGCATGTTCTTGCTCCTTGTCTCATTTGTTTCGTTGTTTTTTTTTTTCGTAGAAATGCGAGTTTTTCTTGTCGAAAAAATGTACGCACATCATCACCAGCAAGGCGTTTCACGAGCCTTTTGTCAATTCCGCCGATGACACGCCTGACGCACTCAATCAAGAGAACAAGCCCACAGAGCAGCCAGAGACACACACCGAAAAGGTAAAAATGCTTTCCAAGGACGCGCTTTTGACCGTGATTCTGTGCAAAATTCACCTGAAATTCGTCTCTTTTTCGCTTTTTTAGAAGCGACTTCGCGCCAAGGACCCTGCACAACAGGAATTCTTTGATGGTCTGATGCAATTGAATGCCGAAGTGTGGAGTCTCACGAGTAAGTTGGCCGTCCTGGAAAAAACATGGCCTTTTTGCTCATCTTTGTTTTTTTTGCAGAGAGCAATTGCATTGTGCATGCACTGATTCACAAGAACAACAAGGCGAGCCAGTCACGGCGCGTGCGTCCAGACAACAACCTTGAAAAGATCCTCATGGACGAGAAAAAGTTTGGTCTTAGCACGAGTCAGCTTGAAAAGCATGACTCGCGGCCGCAATTTGTGCCGTTCAAAGGGTATTATTGCCTTGTGGAGGATGTGACCGGTGTGCATCGACCCATTGCCGTGCGCGAGTATCCACGGCCAGACATGTCCATCCCGCCCAAGAATCGTCTTTACCATTGGCCGTGTTTAAAGCTGACGGACGACGCGAATTCGCCGTTTCCCATGATTGAATCGACTGTACCGCCTGGTGCCCCTGGCGCTGCTGCTGCCGCCAATACCGATGCCAATGCCGCCAAACCGCAACAACCTCACGGCCGTGCCGTCGACACATCTGCTCATCGTCAGCAGCAACAGCAGCAACAACAACAGCAACAACCATCTCAAAACGCGTCCTTGCAAGCCGATCCCTCTGCGCCGCCGGCGGCCGCGACCGCGCAAGCGCCGCAGGGCCCCACACCCATGGAAGTCGACACGCCACACGCGTCTGGCGGTGGTGACGCGCCGCTCGCATCCATTGACATCTCGCTCGTGTCAAAGACACAAGGCCATACCACCACCCATCTCACTTCCACGGCCAACACGGCCATGACAATGACACATCCAACGACCATGCCCACCACCACCACCACCACCACCACATTAGCTACGCCAGGCACCGCCAGCGGGTCAAAGCCATGGCAAAAGGGCTTTGCCGCCCCAGGCGCACGCCGAACTGCCACAGCCACCATGCTTGACAATTTCTCACGTATGGACCGACGCACCATCTCACACACCGCGCCCAAACCCGCGAACCATGACAATGGCGACGCGTCAGACATGGCGAAAACTGGCGACAAGCGCCTTGCCACCGCCCCGCGCCCGGCAAAACGCGCAAAACTGAACCACAATCGCGACGAGCGTCAGATCCTCCAGATGCAGCGCCAAAGGGCACTGGCCAATGGAAAATATTGCGAGAATTGCCACGTCCACTTTCAACAATACTATCAGGTAAAAGAAAAAGAACCTGAAAAAAAAGACCAAATGGGCTCAATTTCTCCTCTTTTTCCCTCCCTGGCAAATAGCATTATGCATCCGAGTCGCATCAGGCGTTTTTACGTGACAAGAACAACTTTAAGCCGCTGGATGACCTTTTGCGCTCGTTGCAACGCACACCGCGCACGTCTTAAGCGCCGTTTTTTTTTCATCAACATTCGTACATATTAT